CCGCCGCTCGCCACACTGCCCAGAGGCCCTCCCCACCCCGCCCACCCCCCTGCGCGAACGCGTCAAACGCGTTCAGGCGCGTTCACCGCGTTCATTTTATGAACGCGAAACGCGCGTTTAATGAACGCGCGGTAACATAGAAGGAGACCATCACATTCAAGTGTGGCGGTCCTCTCCGATCAGTCCACCCGTCCAGTTGGAGCATGCAGCCTGTGCGTGCCCATCGTTTTTGTTGCTGTGCTATTCCCTACGCCACACGCGCCTCGCTGAGGTCTAATCTTTTCGTTCGCTGCACATCGTACTTCGCAGGGATGAAGGACCGCTCCGCTTCACGAACCTTCTGCAACATCCTCGAGAAGTACTTGCTGCGCACCATCGTGAATGGGATCCGATCAAACACCAACCAATCATCAATTGACCGTCGGGCTTCCTCATTCCTTAACACGATTGCCCCACCCTCTTCGAGCGTGGTTTGTCGTCCCCGGATGTTAGATGAATGCACGTTGTTTGGCTGCTTTCGGGTATTTGCCTCCGGAGAGGTTGGGCTATTGCACTCATCGTCCTCCCCCACAGCCTGCTTGTCCATGCTCCTCTCGTTTGAACGACATTCGTCAAATTCGTCAACAGCCTCATGCGCTTGCCGCTTTCCCAAAACCAGAGCAATAGCCTCAAGTCGGCCCAGCTCTCTCCTCTCTTTCTACTCCGCCGACAGTCTACCGCTCACTCTCGCCATGTTACATCTTGGCCCCTTCGTCGTCGACATAAAGTGCTCAGCGCAGCGCTTCGCAGTGCCCGGGACCTCATGTTCGTAGTACCTGCACTTCCATCTGTAGTTGCCCTTGTCCACAACCCCCACAACTTCGCCCTGCACGAAGTGCCGCTTAATGGCATCTGCACGTCCTTTAGGCATCCTATCGACAATGAAAACCGCCAAATCAAACAACAAGGGGCCACGGGAGATCAGATCGAATGTCCTCTGAGTCTGCGTCTGTCTCTCTCCCCCTGTCTTTCCGTCTCTCCCTCTCCCTCAATCAATCCATCAAGCTAGTCAATCAATCAATCAATCAATCAATCAATCAATCAATCAATCAATAAAAAATTTGACAGCATTTTGCCACCCCCATGGGGTCGAAATGAATCATAACAAAACTTTCAATGATTAGATGCAGTCCGATCATAACAGAACTTCGAATCAAAAAATGGACAGCGATTCCCCAACCCCCCCCCATGGGGTTAAAATGTGAGCTAAAAGAACCGTGGTTGAGATCAACAGCACCTATCAATCAATCAATCAATCAATCAAGCTAAAAGAAACGCCGTCCAAGTTCTGATTGATTCAATCCATCAATCCATCAATCCATCAATCAATCCAGCACAATGACTTATTGATTGATTGATGGATTGATGGATTGAATCAATGTGCTGGATTGATTGATTGATTGATGGATTGATGGATTGAATCAATCAGAACTTGGACGGCGTTTCGTCCAATCAATCAACCAACCAACCAACCAATCAAGCAATCAATCAATCCAGNCCAACCAATCAAGCAATCAATCAATCCAGCACAAGGATTGATTGATTGATGGATGGATTGATGGATTGAATCAATCAGAACTTGGACGGCGTTTCCCCAAGCACTATGGAGTGAAATTTCCGTGAAAACGAATGCCATCGAATGGGCCCCAAGATTCGTGGTGCTCTGCCTAGGTCTGCCACCCCTCATGGGTTCCAAACACCGAAAGTGTTCGTGTCGAATGGTAAGCCCCACAACTACAAACTGTCTGTTAAAAAGACCCAAACAAATAGTAAGCTCATGAAGGAGCAAGGGGAGGCGAGAAAGGAGCAAGGGAGGGTGAGAAAGGCGTTGGAGGAGGAGTACAAGTGGTAGTAGCAAGACCGGGAGGGGAAGACGACGAGGTGGAAGATTAGGAAAGGTGGTCAAATAAGGAGGGGAAGACGACGAGGTGGAAAATTAGGAAAGGTGGTCAAATAATGAGGGAGGACGACGACAACGACAAGGAGGAGCGAGAGGATGATGAAGACGACGAGAAGGAGGAGAAGGATCGAAAAGATCCCGCACTGCATGGAAAGATACGCCATATTTTTCGTCTGCATGGAAAGATACGCGGCCATATTTTTCGTCTGCATGGAAAGATCCAGAGCAAAACTGGAAGGAAAAGCGGGAAAAGCTTGTAACAGGCAATGCACTGCATGGAAATGAATCTTCCGCTAGAACATGGGAAGATACACCGCCATATTTTTCGTCTTTAGTGCATGTGCTCGTGGTGAGTTTCGAGGAATACGACGAGCAAAACGACGAGGAGGAGGAGGACGTGGAACGGGACAAAGACGTCAACGACCGAGGTAATGATCGTGACGGGGAGCACGAGCAAGTTTCGAAAAACACGACGACAAACATCCCGAAAAAAAAAAAGAAAAAAAAAAAAAAAAAAAAAAAAGAAAAAAAAAAAGGAAATTAAAATAAAAGAAACGAAAAAGAAAAAGAAAAAAAACGAAAAAGGCTCAAAAAGCCCACCATGTGGGACGGGCAGGGGCGAGGGGGGGGACGAGGTTATAGCAAGTGCATGACGATGACCAAGATGAGGAGGAGGAGGACGAGGGGGAGGAGGACGAAGACATGGAGGAGGAGTGAGAGGAGGACGGACAAGAGGAGAAGGAGTGGGAGGAGGACGACGACGCGAAGACATGGAGGAGGACGACGACGCGATCTATGATGATCTAAATAAACAATCAGTGGCAAAAGACATGGAGGACGACAACGACGCGGAGGAGGGGAGCACGAGCACGTTTCAAGAAGCACCACGACAAACATCAAAAAAAAAAAAACAAAAAAAAAAACGAAAAAGCCAACCATGTGGCACGGGCAGGGGAGAGGGGGGGAGGAGGTTATAGCAAGTGCATGACGAAGATGAGGAGGAGGAGGACGAGGGGGAGGAGGACGAAGAATTGGAGGAGGAGGAGTGAGAGGAGGACGGAGACGTGGAGAAGGAGTGGGAGGAGGATGAACACGTGGAGGAGCAGTAGAAAGGGACACAAGAGGTTAACGGGGCATCTGGTTTTCAGCCCTGAAATTTTTGAAATTAGGGTTTTGGGCTCTAATTTCATGTTTTGCTCGGTTAACCTGCTCTCCACAAGAGGTTAACGGGGCATCTGGTTTTCAGGCCTGAAATTTCTGAAATTAACGACGCGAAGATATGGAGGAGGACGATGACGCGGAGGAGGAGAGCACGAGCAAGTTTCAAGAAACACTACGACAAACATCCCACAAAAAAAAAACGAAAAAGCCAACCATGTGGCACGTGCAGGGGAGAGGGGGGGAGGAGGTTATAGCAAGTGCATGACGAAGATGAGGAGGAGGAGGACGAAGCAATGGAGAAGGAGGAGTGAGAGGAGGATGGAGAAGTGGAGAAGGAGTGGGAGGAGGACGAACACGCGGAGGAGCAGGAAGGGAGCGAAGACATGGAGGAGGAC